GCCTCACTCCTGGAACTCAATGCTAACCTGGAAAAGCACAGCTTTTATTAATCAAACCAGGATGTTTATAACTCATATCCATGGGTAAAAATCTTGGAAAYGGGAGCATTAAGCAACCCAGAACAACGACAACGAGAAGACGTGAAGGAGGAACGGGAGCAGCACTCCTCAAGCCAGATTCCTGCATGCTGTGCCACGCCGCCGTCGGGGCTGCTCCGTGGCGGGAGCAACTGCAGTGCACGGATACTATCCCGCTGCCGAGGAACTCACCCGGGACGCGCGCAGGCGCCAAGCCAAGGAGCCTTATAAACGAATCCCAATTGTCTCCCAATATGAAAAGCATCCCAGTCTGGACAACCAACTTGAGCAAGAAAGAGGGTGTTTCAAGACCATTCAGGGTCAGATCTCTCCTGAGCACGCGGCAGAGCTGGGATCAGCTGCTGCTGAGAGACGTTTGAACGGCATCACGAGAGCTCCTTCCAAGTGAAGGGATGTGGAGCAGGTGCTTGGTGGCAAACACCTATGTTGCCACACATCTCCATAAAGGCATTTCACTGTTTAAGCTCAGCCCAAGCGCAAGTGGAGCCAAGGAGAAGTGCTGTACGCCCACGCCGTGACAATCAAACAACAAGCGTTGGTTTGCAGACAACATTTTTCCATGAATAAAAAATATGAAATGAGTTCTGGCTCAGCAAACCACTTTCACCACATGGGAATTGCTCTGGCTTCAAAGCAGGCTAATGTATCTCTATGATTACAAGCTGTGTTCACCCAGCCAGGAAAACGTCTCTCCGAAATATCTCCAATTGTTACTCCTTCATCCCAGCCACTCTCTGGGAGAATTAACTCATGAAGAGACGTCAAAATCTGCAGGCAATTTGTGAGAGGACAGATCCACTGTTCACCAGAGCCATGCTCTGGATTTGAGCAGCTGTTACAGGTGTCACCAATCAACGAGCAACTTCACATGAGCTGAAAGCAAACTCTGAGTAACCTCTGGACATGGTTTCAGTTGGCTGCATTCAACAAATCATGCTAAGATAGAYGCTTCTTAAGCAAAAAACACATTTTCATTTGACTTAAATGAAAAATATTATGCTGTCCAGGAAGCCACCACAATAAGTCAACAAGAACCCACATGTGAAAGTTTGTGTCAGGAGTTTGGGGGAGCTGCCTGGGAAGGGATCTGTCACCCACTGTACCCTCCACCCTCCTCTTTAACAAGACACAGTTGGCTTCATCCTGCTCGGAAGGCTCTTGCATAAGACATATTAAAAAAAAAAAGAGCACTACCAAGAAAAGGAATAACCAAAGAGAAATTTGTCTCTTGTATTTCTCAATTGGAGGGAAAAAAAATAAAATGAAGCAACATTCATGGCCAGCAGCAATTGTTTTACAATTATCCTTCCACAGATGAATCTATTAACTTACAGATGAACACAACAGGGCTGCATTGGCCTTACACAAAGCAGAAATTGCTTAAAATGGTCTCTTCACTGATGGTGACGCTACAGGTTACTTGCACATCATCTACATGCAACCTAAAAGCAACATTTTTACAGAGTACGGCATATGAGAAGGCAGTAAACATWTCTGTTGACTGGAACAAAACCTGAAAAATGCAAATTCCTTGAAATCCTTATGACCTGGCTTTGGATTCCAGGGCTGATCCACATTTCTGTTTCCCCAATGAAGCCATAAAGCCAACAGTCCCAAAACTTCTCAGYTTAGGAGAGGCCTGAGTCCTCTCCCAGACTTTGAACACTGCCTTGTTTCTAATCTTAATCACAGCATTCATCTGCCATCAGCCTCCACATGGGGACATGTGCAGGATTTCAGCTACACAGAGACAAAAATTAGGAAAAACACCAGAAAAAAACAGACAGAAATGGCATGTTTTAGTTAAACTGACTTATTTGTAAGGCAGAAAGTTTCATTTACAACTTGTGTGGGTGCCCTTGCGGTTCCACCCGGTCACTCCGCTCGGAAGGGTCTCCCAGCCCTGTGGGCGCTGGTATCCCGAGTCCACCTGCCGACTGCAACACCAGCACGAGACGCTTCCACTCCTCAGCCCTTTGTGAGTGTTTGCACAGCCTTTTAAACCACCCGCCACGCTGAGGGAGTAGAGGAGCAGGGAAGGCAACACGGGACACAAGACAGTCCGTTCTAACAGGGCAAATGGAATAATCTGCCCCGCTGCTTTACAGAAGTGAGCAAGTCTGGGAGAGCGCCATCAAAAACCCTTCTCCGACTGAAGGCACCAGCAGTTTCCCTTCAGGATGGATTCTTCGGTGTGTGTGACACATGGTTTGGCAGCTGCAAACACTCTCCTTGCTTCCCTGTGAGCCGTTGGAGCCTTGGCCAGAGCTTTGGCGGGGATGTCACGCACCCGCTCCAGTGGTTTTGTAGAGCCCGCCGCAATGCAACTTGTTCACAAGTGGGGAATACACTGATTTTAGGAGAGGCAGTATTACCAGAAAGCCTTTCTTGGAATCACCCGGGCACTCCACCAAACACCTTATACGCTCTGAGACCTGCAATAYTGGTAAATCCTTTAAATCTCATGATCCTGGCCTGCAGCACACTACCGACTATAGCATTTAGTCTCTCRTACTAGGGGTTTTAAAGACACCACAGATATAATTAGGGGAATACTTCAAGGGTGAGAAGTATAGATGGAATAGATACGTAGTCTTTTGTACTTAAAGCTCAGACGTTCTTTCCAGTGATCACAACTCACCAAGATCAAGGAAACAGAGAGCACATCTTCCAAAGCTGGCCCTCAGCCGTAAAGAAAACCATTATAACCACACTGCCATTTGGCCATCTATGTCAAACGACTCTGAAGGATTTTGCTCTGGTTCCTCACAGGCAGGTATCCCCTCAACTCACACCTTCCTTGCTACCAGGGGCAATAACTATATAATAAATACCAGGGACAAGCCGCARGGCCGTGGCCCCGTCGCTCCAGAACATGTGCAGAACATCAGCCTCGCTATGTGAGGACTAGTGCGGTCTGGGCCACTCCTGGGGATTATTTTCTCTTCCAAGGTTATGTGGCATATGAACATACATTTATTTTTAAAGCCCATACTCGCACAAAATCGGTTATGTCCCCTGATTTCCATTCCATGCAGCACAGGGACTACTTAGCGCGATGTTCAGCGCTGTATGTTACAGAGCAGGGAAATGCTGAGGGCAGCAGGAACCCAAGGCTTTACAGACCTGACTGTAGCAGCCCTCCCGCCACCTCCTCCTGATTTTAATGCTTCCTGCCACGCTTTGACCGAGCGGGCGAGCTCCAGAAACCACTGGAGCTCCTGTTAGCTTCATTAAATTGTGGGTATTTTCAGCTGAGTGTAACAAAGTGGTGTGCTCCCCTCCAAACCCTTCTGCAGRAGAGCACAACGCCCCGAATGCAGGTCCCTGCCTCTTCTCACAGAGGCTGCACACAAGCCCCGTGCCACTAGATGGCACGTCAGGTCAAAGAGAAGCTACGATGGGTGACATGACATGGAGGGTGACACGCTTAGTGTGAAGGGTTTCCAAATATTGCCTCTAATTCGGCCCCGTCCAACACTGTAGGGTGCCCGTGACAGAAATGTGATGTGCTGGGGTGTCATATGTTGCAAGTGAGGAGGGCCAGCAGCAGGAGAGGACGCACTGCTCCCCACCACCAACCCTTGCCTCCGTGCGTGTCATCCCGCCGGCGCTCTTGCCATGGGTCTGCTAGAGCAGGAGACACAAAGCCAGSCCAGATCAACCTGCTGATCTGGTGGACAGTCAACATATGAACCATAAATAGTTATTTTCTGACAGATCAGCTAGAGACATGGGATCGCTGCATTGCAAAGGCTGGATGCAGCAGAAGACAACCATGACCTCTCGTCCCGAGAGCTGCCTGCAGTGACAACACATTACGTGTCACGCAGAGCCTCCACAGCCAGACTTCTCCTGGATCAGACCCAGCGTTCATTCTATCCTTTATCCCCACCTCAGCAGCACACAATACCACCTTGGCCAATGCCAAGTGTGTCAAGGAARGCAGGGGGACACTGCTGACGACAGAAAAACCTAAAGACCTGCACACCCACAGCTGACACTCTGATTCTACAGATTGACCTAAACCTGGATGCATGATATCCCAAAGTCCTAATGTCCATTGCTAGAGCTTCCCTGAAATGTGGGCACACCCACACAGGAACGCAAASTTGGCCACAAGCACAACGGTTCCTCTCTGGACCTGCTGGGAGGCTGCCAGCCATAGGGCACCGCGAGGCAAAGCCATTGGGTCCATCAAAAATGAAGCTGTAACTCACCTTCTGCTAAGCACAGACTTTTCCTTCTCAGTGTTCTCTCCAGAGAAACTCCACCCTTGAATAATATTTAATTTGGAGGGAAAACCAAGGCTTAGGGAAAGAACAGCCTTTTCAGCCATATTTGGTGCATTTTTAAAGTAAGGATGATGAAAAATTGAGAAACTCACAAGCGCAGAAAATAAAATATTTGATTTGGTTTCCAGGTTAAAGGAAGATGGAGTTTATACAACTCCCTTCTATTTTACGTAAGGGTAGGAAGGCCCATAACAACACTAGCACTTGTGGAAAACACTCTGTCAAAACTCTTTTTCAAAGGAAAGTTTGATTAAAGCAATTTTTGCTATTCAAGGGTCTAATTCCTCTAAAAATGCCCTTCTCCTACCTCAGAGATGAAACTCCAGCTACCAACCATTTTTTCCTCACCCAAATGAAGCACAGTGACACCTTAAAGCAAACAGAGGCCAAYGCCTTGCATGAGGTATCTGAACTATGGCTTTCTTGGGGCTCCACAGCCACATCTCCACATCAAAACCCGTTCCTGTTGGTTCCCGCACACCGACTCTGAAATTCCRGAGTACTGCCTGCATGAAATGGACTCCACCTTGCCCGAGCCAGCTGGGTTAAGAGGCGAATAAAACAAGACACCAGGATTTTGAGGATGAAACGAGGTTGCCACCGTACCATTTGACACTGGAGCCACTCGATGAGAGCCTCCGCCGTGGAGTCGGGGACCTGGCAGCGCAGCCCCTCTCGTTCATCCGCCTCCATCATCTCCAGCAGCCCCCGCAGGTCCTCGACCAGGTGCAGCGCTCGCAGGCCCCCCATGAAGGGCGACGTGGGCGACTGGCAGTCGAATATCCCGTTGGAGTATTCCAGCGCCTTGGATCCTGCACCGAGCAAAGGCACACACAGAGCAAAGGGATAAATACACGGTAAAAATCTGCAAGCTTCCCACACCCAACCYATCTCTTCCAACCGATACTGTCTGATCTTAACCAAACTCAACTAGTCTTGGATGCTGCCCCTTCTCTGCATTTTTTTTCCCACAGAAATATGTGACAGTGCTCTAAGGCCTTGGAATTTTTTTGCAAGAACAAAGAAATGTAAGAAGATAAATAGACTAAATCACTTTTACAAGCACTTTTTTTTTTTTTTTTAAGAAAGGTTGATATGGAAGTGCTGACATTTGCATGCTAATATGGAAAAATAAATCTTATTTGCATAAACTCCCAGGATGTATGTTTGACCTACATTAAAACTTGAGATATGTAAAATAAGGAAGGAAAGTGCAAATTCAGGATTAAGGTTGACTTAAAGTAACCTAGCTAATTCCAGCTAGAACTTCAGCATGTTGATTTGTGACCTTAATACTGTAATGCTTCGGCACAATGAGACGTATTAATGACAGAACATTAGCTTTTGTGCTGTCAGCTTTCGGAAATTACAGAGATCTGCCATATATGCACTGCCATGAGCCTCCTTCATCTCACCTGGCAAGACCCAAGGCAGAAAAAAAGAAAAAAGCAAGCTAGTTTCCTTTGAAAAAAACAGAAGATAAAAAATCCTACAGAAGCAAAGGAGTTGATACTCCTCCTCTGTTAGATTATTTTATAGGCCTGGAAAGACACATGGGTGACTTAAATATCCCAACACCGCATTTTATTTTTATATTAAACCTCATACTGCCATAACCAACTCAGACTCTCAAAAATACAGACACATGATCTGATCCAAACATTAATATCTACTTATGGAAATTTCTCAAGTCACAGCTTACATRTATTTTTAGAGATCACTATGATCCAACTGAAGCCACTTCGCATCTGTGCCTGTGATGTGTCCTTAATATCTTTAGGAAAACTAAAGATATTAAGGCAGAGGAAAGTTGTTGTCCAAGCTAGCACACTTTTTTGGGGGGCCTGTTTTTCTCCTTTAAGGAAATTAATTTAAGTGGGACCATTAAAGACTTATCACAACTATGTTGCTATCCTTGGAGATATTWTTTTCAGTTTGTTAGCATAGCTCTGCTGCAATAAGATTGAACTATTAACTTTTTGCTGCTTTGCTTCTCTGTGTAGTGTATTGGGTTATTTTCCAGCTCACCTGACCCAGTTAAAGGAGCAGAAGTTGCACACTTTACGATCCCTGTCATTAGGTCACCTATAATTTACAGGTTTTTATAAAAAAAACACTAATACAAAAGGCAGGTTCAACCCAAATATTTGGACCCACAGCATTCCAACTTTGAAAAAGGAAAAGAGAAAATTCAATTTGTGTTTTAGCCCTGCTGCAGCAGTGCAGAGTGGCCAGGATTAGACGAGCTCTCCCTTGCAGCCGTGCAGCTGCCCTTGGCAGCCCCAGCCCCGTTTCGAGGTGTGAGGGCTGCCCGCTCCGCGGCGCTCGTGCCGCCTCACCTCAGCAGCACCGTTTCTGAGCAGGACCTTGACAGGAGATGGGGAAAACCACGATCCCTTTAGCCTTGCCAGTGGGCGACAGTTTGTGCAACCCCTCTGCCCCGCTGCCTTGCGATCCCTGGTGGCAAGAGGGACCCCACACGCGTCCCAGGCACATTCCCTCCTCRGCTGCCCTCCGGAGAGGGGCGGCCCCGAGCTCTTACCTGCTATGATGCCGTCCATCTGCTCCAGAGCGGCCGCCAGCATGTCACTTGCATCACTCATCATCTTCTCTCTTCTCGRGGACGCCCCCAGCTACACCATAGGGAGGAACGGGGCACCAGCGGCGCGAGGTGGGCGCAGAGCCTCAGGCCTGCGAGCCGGGCTGCAAGAGAAGAGCAGATGTCCATCACCAGGCATGAACAGGCAATTATAAAGTATCGCCTCAATAAGCTGGTTCCTAATTTTGGTGAGCCTATAGCTCAGGTGAGGTAGGTGAGCCCACAGCTCTGTCCACGCACTCGAGGACATCCCATGGACCTTCAGAAGTCCCAAACACAAACAGTGCTCCCGAGGAGCTCACGGAGAAGACACCAGGCCTCCTGTCCATTAAGATCACCACAACTCTGCTGTGTCTTTCCCAGCTGTCTTTCCTTCACATTTGCCCTCCCCAGCAAGCTCTTGGTAAGGAGGCAGAGCCTGAAAGATTATCCAAGCTTCCTGGAGCCAGATAATCCAAAATCCAGGGYATATATTGCCATTTCCCTACAGAGTGGATATCTAGTATGTCCATGGACTCAGCATGCACTTACTGGAGCTACCCAGGACGATGGAGCTGCATCTTACCCTCAAATTTTGAAAAACAGAACTGGTTCCCAGGGAATATTCTTAGTAGGATCTGGGAAAGTTGACCAGCCTGACACYCTGCCTGGGGAGGTGAATTAGCAGTTTTAAATCCCTAAGGGCTACACAAAGAAAGCCCSGGTGCAAGCRGAGCACACGCTAAGGGCCTGTGCCRAGCTGGGGCCTCCCCTCTCCCTGCAGCCCGGCACAGGGGACACACAAGCCATGGAAATGGTCCAGACTGTCACGGCTTCAACCTAGGTCACACGGGACTGCTACCAATGCAGACAGGGAACGAAACCAAGCAGAAAGCAGGAAGGAAAACTCCCTTCAACCTGTCGCACGCCCTGCCGTTCGGGCGGGTGTTGCCCGCGCCGCTGCTCACATTTGCTCCTGCAGAAGCAATTCAGAAAGTTGTTCCCATTAACTGGCATAAATCCTGGCACGGGGTCTACTAAAACCAAACCAAACCATCACCAAAACCCCCTTAAATGCTAAAAACTGWTTTTTCCTTCCCATGGGCGGCCTTGCTGGCTTCACCCAGCTGACAGGTAGCTCTGTCTGGAGGCTGCCAGCTCTGCTGAAACGCTCTCCTTGAAAGGCCAGTGAGCATTTCATCGGCCAGAGCTCAACTTCCACGGCGTGAAGAGGATCCAAACCCTACGGCGACTTGTGAACGACAAAATGGAGACTCCTGAACTTAATGGCACAAGCCTTGTCTTACTATTTAGCTGCCTTGTTTTGCCATTTAGCTGCCAGAGCTAGCAAAATGAAGTTAAATAAAGTAATACTGCCACAAATCTTMAAAAAATTATGTAGTGCCATAATTAAAGACTTCCAACCTTCAAGAAGGCATCCCCAGATTTTAAAACACAATCCACAGCATAAACTTCCAGCAATATAATACCTGCCATAATATGCAGGTCTCACTAAAAGATCTTTGGTGTGGTACCTAGAAGTGTAATAAAAATGAGTAGAAAACTCAGGTTTTGCAAAAACAGCCACCAGTGTAAGTCTGAAGGCAGACTTGCCCTTTCCTTCCAGACTTCCTGGCTCTTATAAGTGGGTCCTGCTAAAGTTCAGTAAACGTGGATGACTGTGGARTGTAAATCACCTACATGGGATGTATCTCTGGAGCCCCAGGACTGCTGCTGCCCCCGACCCAGGGCTGATTCCACAGAGCCTGAAGGAGGAAAGGGCTAGAAAGGCAGCGCAGCACCCACATGTCCAACATCCAGGTAGCAAAGGGGAGCTGTGCCCATGGCCTGATGAAGCTGCATGAACATCTGATCGGAGGGAGAAATGAAAATGCACTGGCCCCCAACACCAACAGCTGGAGATGATGCAACGAGATCCTGTTTTCCCCCGGAGTTTGGCCCTGGAAAGCGGCCACCGAACACAAGCCTGGGAGGGCCCCTCCTTCCCTGGCCACCTTCGCAGCACATGGAGCAGGCAGGAAGCAAACCTGCTGTGACAGAAAAACAATCCTGGCAGCAATGCTGCCTGACAGGGGTGCAGGGTCGCCCCTGCTCTCACACACYGGCACCGTGGCACGGAGAGGCTGGGGGAGACACCCAAGCCCTCACACGCCAACAACGAGGGCACGAAACTGTGTCCATCAAGACAACAGGAGGAGGGAGGCACAGGGGAAGGCAGGGAAATAGCGATCTTAGATACAAGTCCCAAAACAGCAGCCCTCTGTGTATTAAATTGCTCGCCTAACGATCAGGATCTGCCCAAAATCAAACAGGAAAGGGGTCAGCACCAAAACACTCGGGGATTTTTTGTACCGTCTGCAAGGGCACTGGGGTCACCTCCCATTTCCAAAGTCTGGGAGAATCTCGGGCTGAGCACTGACCCAAGGGACCTTCCCGGTCCTTCCCTGGCTTTGCTCACCATGACTTTGTCCTCACGGGAATAAATCCTTACAAAACCCTCGAGGCCGACCGTACAAGAGGCACCTCGAAGAAGCTCGGGGAGCTCCTCACCAAAACAAGGCAAAGCTAAGACGGAAGATGATGTCATGTGGAATAACCTCCTTCCTCTTACAAAAGCAAAAGGAAAGAAAAAGGAAAAACATCGTGTAAGCACAGACTGATCTGCGACGCAGCAGAAGAGCCAGAAATCCGGATGCACGCAGGGGCGAGCAGGTAAATGTGTGAGCTTCATCCCCGGCTCATCACCATCACCACCACGGACACAGCTGGGAGAAAGCCGAAACAACCGGAGACGCGCCGACGGTGCTCTGCCCAGGGAACCACTAAAAACAAGTTTTCCCTCTCTCCTAGAAAAGCACTCACCTTCTCGACGCCCTCAGTGCACGGCGAAAGGGCAGGATCCTCTGCTTTTTGCTCTGTTTTTAAAACGAGGCAGATCCCTCTGCTAGCGCTCGCAGCCCAACACCTTGCTCACGCTGACAAGAACAAGCATTACTTCATCGCGGCTATATTTATAATCCCCAATTAAAACAACAAAAAAAGAGATACTGGCACATCTCCATTACCAGCCACAACTACTCTTATCACGAGCTGACATTTCTGTCCTACCTCTCCCCTCATAAAGATGCTGTTATTTGGTCTTACTTGTTTAATGTCCTCTCCTGCGGCTCCGACGYGCCAGCCTGGTTGCTAGGGCTCTGCTGTTCACTTTTCAGTAGGTGGGGATCTTTTATTTTTATTTCTGAATGACATGCCAACCCTCCGGCTACGGCGCTAGGGGAGAGAGATTCCAACCGAGTCGCCGGGAAAAACAACCCGCTGCCCTGCAAAGGAGACCCAGGGCGGCGAGGGGCACGGCGCGGAGCTGCGGGAGCGGCAACGGCCGGCTCACGCGTTCCAGCAGCAAAGCTCCCCGAAACGGCGCTTCAATATCGGATATTGAATGAAGATGTCAGGCTAAATCATCATCATAACGAAAGCACCTATGTTATGTATGTTGGAAGTCATAGTTTTCTCCCTCCATGAGTTCTCTACATCAAATTACAAAAGCAGAGGCATCGAGAGGCAACGTTTTCCAGCCTATTTTTTGCYTTGGGAGGCTTTCATGCTGGATGCCCGCTTAGCAAACACACTATCCTTCACGTAAGAGATGGCTGGGCAAGAGGCCCAAGCATCTTCTGGCTTTGTCTCCTTCAGCCTCCGACCTGAACCGTCCTCAGCACTTGGTTGTCACAAGGGCCACCTCRGCCTGTTAAGACAAAAGCCACTGCAGACACCTAATCCCAACTCCCTGTGCTCCACCTGGCCAGCCAGCAGAGAAATTGCACACACACTTACTTGTAAGATACATTTGAATTACAAATAAAAGCTGCTTCAAACAAAAGAAATCTAAAGCACTTGAATAATTTTTCCCATTTTGAAGATCCTGAACTACAATGCTCCCAGTCAGCAGCTTTTTAACACCTAATAACAAATCTATTCAACAAATCTACACTAGGGGTCATTAGCATTTCTCTTAAAAAAAAAAAAAAAGAAAAAAAAAATCATTTCATGGATTTCAGGCCTAAGGAAAAAAAACGGAGTAAACAACGAAAATGGATCACTGCTGAATGCATTGCTCTGGTATTTTACAGGAGAACAAACACAATTTAAAAACTAAAATAAAATAAACGCTGGGGGTAGCTTAATGGGAATTGTTTAGACAAATATCTCATCACGAGACAGGAAGAATAAATTACTCAGCTCCCAAATTCACCCCACAACATGTTGGGAGCCGCGCTACACYCTGTGCCTCAAGCAAGGAACCAAGGAGATGACAAAAATCGTGACGGGAGAAATTAATCTTCCACACAGTTCAGAGCAAACTGCTGCTCCTAACACCACTCCCCTCGTCTTACAAAGGAAAGAAAAATAAATTTGCAAAACAACCAAATTTAATCTACAGCATCCTGCTTGCAACCATCCTGCTTGCTGCCCTCTGCTCCCCCTCCTCCGGCAGCCCTTTTGGGACTGAATTTGCAAGGAATTCCATAAATCCGGCACGTGACGGGTTATTTTGCTGTGTGATGGACGCAGCACCGAGAAACCAGGGCGTTATTTGGGCACATGCTTAGCTCGGGCCCAGCAATCTGGGGAAAAACCCACAYCCGAGCGACTCCCGGCTCCCGCCGGCGCGGAAATGCCGTGCGTTCCCCACGGACACGTCAGGACCACCCAACAAAAGGGACATTGTTGCTAGCAGCCCGAAAGGTACCATGGCAAAACACCGCAGGAACCGCCAAATCCCGAGCAGAAACCCGTGTCTGGATGAGATTTCACAGCACGTGCCTCTTCCCTTTAGGTTTTTGGGTGTTTTTTTTCCCCCTCTCTTTGGAGTTCCAAATTCATGAGCTCCCATATCCAAAAGGGAATTTGGATATGGACTCTGGATTTGGACCTCCAGATTTAGGAGGACCTACATCCATCCACAAGTTTCTGTGCTGGCACTATGCAAAGCATTAGTTGAGGACCAAAAGTCCAGAAAGCAAATAGCATATATCTACCTTGAACTGTATTTTCACATGTGTAATTACTCGTTTTCTATAAAAAAAAAAGGTAAAAAATG